TCATTGGCTGGAGTTGGGGTGCGTCATTCTGAACTGGTATTGTTGTGAATTAATATGATTTATTTAAAAAGAAACTGTGTTTACAAATGTCAAGGCATCGCAAGCCAAGAGGCATCATGCCACAAGTCCATCCATCAGTGGTGTAGTCTACATTTTTGTACTGCGCTTAGAAACCAAAGTACACTGGCTAGTACAATGTGATCGTCAATTTATTTTGATTTTTAAGCATATTGAACATTTCCAAATTTCTCTGATGCTTATATTTGAATAAATGAACAGCAAACTTTGTACAACAGTTGGCTTTGTATTAAAAACGTGTTATAGAATTTATAAAACATTATAAAAGCAAAACATGTTCGAGTATTAAGTAGTAAGTACACAAGTTTTAATTATACAATAATTTGCTGAATAAGCGAATGTATAAATAAGTGCTGCATACAGACAGATTGTTACGGAAGCATTTAACAGCCATTTAATGTATCATTGACATGTGCCTAATGGTATGTCATGTATCACTGGGCACTTTTAAGTGGGTATACTGAAATTCTTAAGCTTTGTCTGTACAGCACTTTGGTTGGCCTTGTTGCTGTTTTAAGTGCTTTGTAAATAAAGTGGTATGGTATGGTTTCTAGTGGGTATACTCCGTATGCTCTCGTATCGCACAGACTACGCCACTGCCATCCATCCATCCATTACCTTTACACGCTTCTTCCTTTTCGGGTCACGGGGATCACTGCTGCCCATATCCAGCGATCACTGTGCGAGAGGCAGGGGACACCCTGGACAGGTCTCCTGTCCATCGCATGGACACACAGAGACAAACAAGACAAACAACCATCCATCCATCCATCCATTATCTTTACCCGTTTATTCCAGTTTGGGTCACGGGGGTCGCTGGTGCCCATGTCCAGCAATCACTGTGCGAGGGGCGGGGTACACCCTGGACGGGTCGCAAGTCCATCACAGGGCCACATAGAGACAAACGAGACAAACAACCATTCACTCTCTCACTCACACCTAGGGACAATTTAGAGTTACCAATCAGCCTAACATGCATGTTTTGGTCTGTTGGAGGAAACTGGAGTACCTGAAGAAAACCCACACATGCACGAAGAGAACACGCAAACTCCACCCAGAAAGGCTCCCGAGCCGGGATTTTGAACCGGGGTAACCTGCTCGCTGAGAGGCGGCAGCTCTACCAACTGCGCCACCGTGCTGCCATCAAAATTATTTATTCATCCAGTAACTATAACTTTATTCTTTCACCTACAAAAAATAAATGTTCAAAGCACATCAAGGAATGACCGATACCAGAGAGAAATGTCTCAGGATATAAAACACAAGCAACTGATCTTTATACTTTTGGCCACAAGATGTCGCCAAAGAGGACAGTGTTAAAAAGCTTTTGAGTAATGAACCCTTTTTCAAAACAAGCTTCGGTGCTTCAGAAAAGCTTCGTTTACCCATCACTATTTAAAAGTGTAGAAAATAATTATTAGCCATGTAGCATTCTTTCACATCGGTATGTCGTTTCTGAGAAAGAAATGTCTCATAAGCCTGAAAAACAATAAACAATAGGCCCTCGTTTTGCTAACCATTAGCTTAGCAATTAGCTTAGCTTAGCCTAGGTGAAATTTGTTGCCATTTTCTCCATATTCTGTGCTCTATAACAAAAGTCACAGAGGATAAGGTATAAAATACTGATAAATTTTTGATAGAAACATACTTTAACACTACTTACACACTTTTGTTCGGTGTATTGCTTCTGTACTATTAGTGCTAAGTGTATTCTTAGTTTAACGTATTTCTTAGTTCCCATCTTAGATCTTATTATTGTTTTTCTTTTACAGTTTATACTTTTGTTGCATGTAACTACCCTGTGTACACAATTTCATTCTACCATGTACCACATGAGATGTGAATGACAATAAAGAAACCTTGACCTTGACCTTAAAAATGACCAGACTATCTCTTTAAGGAATAGAAACTTGGATGGACTGACTTTTCATCCAAGCTCTGTCTGTTACACCTGTGTTTTTATTGCCTATTACATAGAAACATATTTGTAATTTGGTTTTATTGGTATTTTACATTATGACCGTGACGTGCAATGTTTCCGGGTGTCTGAGTGACTGCAGAGCAGCTGAAACAGAGTCAGACATGAACATTGTTTAAACTACGTGTGGTCAAAGAAGCCATGAAACTATTTAGACCACAATGCATTGCAAAATACTGACTTTGAGCATGCACATAACTGTAAAATGGTCAACTGCAACTGATGTAGAGACTTCAGGGTGCATTGCACCAGTCTGAAGGTAAAACCAAGAGCCACAAAGTGGTGTAGTCTACATTTTGTAGTGGGTATACTTGCTTTCATTAAATTTTTATTTAGGCAGGTTAATCCCATTGAGCCTCGGGGACTCATTTACAAGAGAGATCTGTAAATCTGTAAATCTCTAATCATCAATTTAGAGTCAGAGATTCTTTATTGTCGTTTGCACCTCATGTGGTACATGTGGTGGAGCGAAATTATGTACACAGGGTCCCAGTTACATCCAACAATAAAATGTAAAAGAAAAACAGCAATAAAATCTAAGACATGAACTAAGAAAAACATCAACTAAAAATACACTAAGCACTAATAGCGTAAAAACATTACGTCGAACAGCAGCACGAACATGAGCATGAGTCTGTGTGAGCAGATGAGCACGCATGAACACATGAACATGAAACAGATCAGCAGCAACATGATGTGATTTTTCACAGTGATTATTCTGGTTAGAGATTCATGAGTCTAACAGCCTCAGGGTAGAAGCTGTTCCTCAGTCTAGTGGTTCTACACTTAATGCTCCTCAACCTCCTTCCTGAGGGGAGCGGGGCAAAAAGTGTGTGTGCTGGGTGAGTGGGGTCCTTCATGATGCAGGTAGCCCTCTTCCTGCATTTATTTTGATTTTTAAGAATATTGAGCATTTCCAAATTTCTCTGATGCTTATAATTTACATGTCCTGCGACTTATAGGCCGAAGCGACATACAGTGTTTATGGATTTTTTTCCCATATTTATAAACCAATTTTTGGCTGAGATAGGACCGTTTTCATTCATTCTGAATGATTTTTTTTTTGAGCAGTACCACTTTCAGCCACTTGATGGCAGCCGAGTAGTAGCAGAAGTATGGCATGCCGTTGAATCATGTAATAGGTAAACGTGGCTATAATGATAAATTCAAAGAAGTTCAAGACAAAAACAACTGCACTTTATTTATTATACTTTACACTTTATTGTTTTTTTTTCTTGAACTTTTTTGAATTTACCATGTACTGGATGACTGAGAATCTTCACCAGCTTTTAATGATACAATCTGCTTGCCATAGTTCTCCACCTTCGTTCTGCTCGCTGCTTGGACAGACCATCAAACCAGCTGCACCGCCCCGGCGAAATGCAGCTGGTTTGACCTTTATAGTGCATTCATGAAGCAAATGATAGACTGAGACACACCTTTACTATAATTTGAGTAAACAAATAATCGTTTTTAAGTGTTAATCTTGTTAAATTCTTGATAACATCCTTCCGTGCACACTCCCACGGCTGCCATTTGGCAGCCCATTGATTTTGGCACAACACCGGCCCACATTTCCGGGTTGTCAGCGGTGACGCATAATAGATGCGACGTATACGGAGAAGCCACATATTTATGGATTTTTTTCACTTTATTAGACAAATATGGACTGATGAGACTTATAGGGCGAAGCGACGTATACGGTGGAAAATACGGTTAAGTAGTAAGAAATATTAATTATACAATATTTGCAAATGCTATAAACAATTGATTGTTACGGAAGTATTTAACTACCGTTTAACGTATCAGTGACACAATAATGATATGTCATGTATCACTGGGCACTTTAAAGTGGGTATACTGAAATTCTTAATCTTTTCTAGTGGGTATACTCCGTATACCCACATATCGTGTAGACTACACCACTGGAGCCATGATCCTGGGGGAAAGACAGTCGACTGTCAGGACATTGCTGTTCAAATGTTCACGCCAGCAGTAACAACAAAAAAAGTCTATATTTAACAAACAAAGCACCTGACACTTTCTAGATTCATATCTTACTTGGAAGAGATGACAGCGATAACAGGTCAGTGTCCGGGCGTGTTAATGTACAATAACGAGTAGTCCCACAAATCATTACAAAACATTTTCCTCTTCCAAATTCAGTCAAAAACAAGCGTTCTGAGAAAAGACTCAACAGTGTGAAAAGTAGATTTGAAAAAAGTTACAAGTTGTTTATGAAAGGGGAACATGGTGATCTTTAGGGAAATGACAGAGCAGGATCACAGGCTGCTGTCATTTATTAAAAAAAAAACTTTTAACGCAAATAAAGAAACGGGGACAGTCGACGAGGGAGCCGACCCAAGACAAGTGAGCCTACAGGTCAGGAATCTTTGCTCGTATCCTAAAGCTCATCTTGCTTTTACTCTCCCACCTCTTCGCTCTTCAAGGTATCAGGAGGAAAGACCCATTGGCCTCAATCTTCTCCGATACCAAACCACAGTGGCCCACTTATCCCGGCTCTAAAATAAGAGCCTGCGCTATTACAGCTCAGAAGAGATCAGCCAAATCCAAAAACTAACCAAAACTTTAAAAAAAACAAACGTCACAAAGAAACAGGCTGAATACTCGTGACAAATCTGAAAGACTTCAACAACAGAAGCTCAGGTCAGAGGTGAAACAACACGGAAGTGAACTGAGAAGCCAAACGTCAGGAGGTTCTTGTGTCTTCTCAAATGGCAGAAGGACCAGATGATGACTTTCACATCAATGTCACATTAAAAGGTCAAGACGAAGACGTAAACAAGAAACACAACTCTCAACAAATCCAGACATCAAATTCATTCTGTGGATTAAAAAAATAACGTGTTTAAAAGATCATTGCGTAACTTTGTGTGTCCTTCAGTGACAGCCTGTCCGTGCACGTTTAAAACCTGTGGCTCACCATCTCCACTTGCCGTGGGTCCAGGTTGGTGGGAGCAGAGGCTGGAACAGCAAACTGGATCTTCTTCCTCTCCTTGTGCTCCCCCTCGACATGGGTCGACATGGAGGGCTCCATGGCTCTGGATCCTGGGGGGTCTGACTCCCAGTGGAAGCCAAATAAATAATTTCTGTGGAAGAACCTCCTCTTTCAGACCTCCTAACTGTGGCCTCGTCACCCCCAGACTTCTCCTGCCTCTCCTTTGGCTACTGGAAGAACTTTCTCCACCTCTGCTCCACTTTCCCTCCCCAGGAGCTGCTGCCTCTGCTCTCCTCTGTCAGCGTCTGCCTTTAAACCTGAGCAGCTGCAGCGCGTGTCCTCAGATCTGGAGGAGGCGGGGCCATTTGTGTAAAGAAGGCGGGGACATAATGAGATGGGGAGGAGTCAGAGCGCACAGGGGAGGAGCATTTTACAAAAAAAGGGACAGAGCTGCTGTTTTTATCTGAGCTGAGGCTGATTTGCAACGAGTGGGGAAATTTTATAATCTCGTCGCATCAGCTGAGCCTCTTCTGGCCTCTATTTGTGAATGAGAGATTTATGCTTGTAGGGGGAGGGGGGGGTCAGATAAACACGAGAATGATGCAGGGAAGACGAACAGCAGCTGAACTTCCTGACATTTCACTGGATTTAAAGCTGTTGATGCACATGAGGCTGAAACAGAAAGACCAGACACTGAAAGCACGAAACTCCGAGAAATGACTGTTTCTGTGACGCACGCTGCTTGAAAACTGCTGGAATTGGCAGCTAAAATCAGCTAAAACTGTGAACTAAAAGGTAAAAATAGCATTGTTACTATCCAACAGTTTTCAGTCAGGTCATCTGGACAGTTTAATTTTTTTTTTTTTGCTGAAACGTATTGTTACTAATTAACTAAATACTACAGTAGCAAAATCTAAGAAAACCTATGCAAAATTGTTGCTAAGGGCTAAGTAGCTAAACTGTAGGTAAAAGCTAAAATTACAAAACTGCAACTAAAATAAATGGACATAAATGGTAGCTGAAATTAAAATGAGCAAAACAACAACAAAAAAACAACAACAACAGAGCAAAAATGTAGCTGAAAGCTAAAATTATTGGTACTGTGGCTAAAATCTATAATTTACAAACAGCTAAAGCTAAAATTTGCACAACCAGAACTTAAAAGCTAAATGAAGTAAAAATGTTGCTAAAGCTTTTTATATGGAAAAAACCTGTAGTTAAAAGCTAAAATTATCAAAACTATGGCTGAAAGCGGGCAGCACGGTGGCGCAACTGGTAGAGCTGCTGCTTCTCAGTGAGAAGGTCCCTGGTTCAAACCCCGGTCCAGGGGCCTTTCTGGGTGGAGTTTGCATGTTCTCTCCGTGCATGCGTGGGTTTTCTCCGGGTGCTCCTGTTTCCTCCCACAGACTAAAAACATGCATGTTAGGCTGATTGGTAACTCTAAATTGTCCCTAGGTGTGAGTGAGAGAGTGAATGTTTGTTTGTCTCGTTTGTCTCTATGTGTCCCTGTGATGGACTTGCGACCCGTCCAGGGTGTACCCCGCCCCTCGCACAGTGATTGCTGGACATGGGCACCAGCGACCCCCGTGACCCAAAATGGAACAAACGGGTAAAGAAAATGGATGGATGGATGGATGGATGAAAGCTAAAATAAAAAAAGCTAAATGCAGCAAAATTTTAGCAAAATGCTAAATGTAGCAAAACGAAATGCTAACATTAGCAAATTTGAAAGAAAACCATAGCTAAAAGCTAAATTTAGTAAACACCAAAAGCTAAAAGGCTTCAGGCTGCTGTTTAATAATATACTTTTATATTTTTTCTGTTTTGGGGTATAGCTGGGACGTTGAGTACACAATTTCGTTCCACCTCATGAACCACATGCAATGCAAATGCCAACAAAGAACTTGAACTTGAACTTAAAGCTAAAATTAGCAAAACAGTGGCTAAAAGCTAACAGGGCCATCTAAAAACAGAGCAAGTGATGTAGATTTCAGACAACAATGTTTCTGATAAAAGTGAAGAGATTTGATGCATTTATGGGGAGATTTTTATTTTGTAAATAAAGTTTATTAATTTAAAAAAGATAAATAATTAAAGCCATATGACACTATCGCTGATGGAGCCAAACTATTCTGATATATGAATAGCTTGTCCAGCATGAACGCTGAATGGACATTCACATAACTAATGCCAGGACAGAATCCAGTGTTTTGCACATCTAGTTATGATTTATAACATGGAAAAACTGCATATAAACATAATTAAATGTTGCTATTTAAACTAAGAAGGGAAAGAGGGTAAAGAAGCTGTTAACTCTCGTGGCGGAGGGATTTGGACATCACAGGGCTGTAGATTTAGCCCGGGGTCAGAGTTGAGCTTTGACATGAACTGAAATTAAGGAAAAAGCTTTGAGTGAGGAGGAGGAGGCGTAAAGGTGGTTAGGAGGCCTTCGTGGGCAGAATATAGAAAGTCAAGGTAAACATGTTGTGCTGGGACAGGATCTGCATCCAGAGTTAGTGACTTGAGTAATCTGAGGGTTTATTCCACGGCTTAGAGCACGCTTCTGCTGGAGGAATGGCCTCAACACAGTCCACCCCTTTCTGTCACGGCAACTATTTTTAATTTATGAAATTACATGCAGTTAAAAAACAGATTACTGTCTTTCCAAAGTGAATGAATCATTTTCTGTGTCTTTGGTTTGATTTCCTTCCACAATGGTTGCATAACTTGCAGTATGAGCAGACTTGTGCAATGCTTTAAGAGGGGTGAACAATGCGCTTGGTGTAATAAACTGGAATAAAACCACGGATTGACTCGTTTTGGCCAAAAGAAGACGACATGATTCACTAACTGGTATTAAAGGAAGCGTCTGATGACGACAATCAGAAGTCTTTAATGATAATTATATTCATTAAGACATCCACTTGGCTCTAATTTTATTCATGTGAATGTTTTTGAACTTTATTAGTTTACAGTTGTGCTCGTGGCATGTTAAAAACAAGTTACAACTTCATTTTTAGACTTTTTTTTTTTTTTTGGAAGCGTGCCTCACAAACATCCCCTGCAGGTTGTATTCTACTATCCACACTTCTTGTGAATGAACTTCTGATCTCCTTCACTTCAAAAAGCTTGCCAAGGACGGAATGGAGCCGTTAATCTGCACCGAGCACTTTTTATGTTCTTTGAAATCCTTGGAATTAAATCTGACAAGAAGAATGCACGTGGATTGTATTTTGGGGGCGTTTTCTCCTTCCAGACTTGTTTTGCACAGATCGCCTCAGTGTTTCCTGCACAAACGCTCTGTTGTCAATTGTTTTTGTAAAAGTCTAGATCTGTAACAAGGTTAGAGGTTTTTAAGACTTCTGTATGATGTGAGGAACATTTGAACAACTTCTAGTAAAATTGGCAGAGAACTTTTGCCATTAATGTGGATATAAAATGTGACAGCAGGCCCCGTTTTTAACGTCAAACTAATGATTTCTCTGTTTTTTCCACTTTCAGTTCTTATTCTTTTGTTAGTTTTGAAGATATGAGTGCATCTCTTGTTTAATTAAGCAGACTGGTGTATTGTTTTACCCTCGGCTTTAAGAATGTAATTAAAACTGGACTTCAGAGTTTGTTCTCCTTCGTAAGTAGAACGAGACGAGATACAAAAAAAGTATGTGGAACAAATAAATAGAAAAACAAGGAATATAAGATAAAGTATTGCACTTTTTAAATAAAGGAGTGAAGGATATCATTTAATTTAATTTCCCGCTGGGATTAATAAAGTATTTTTGAACTGAATTTGAATTTGAATCATAGTTTAAACTAAGATTATCTCCTGATGAAAGGGTTGGAGCAGTTTCAAACCTTGTAAATGACTTCTTGTGTGACTTTGTGCAATATTCTTATGTAATCGGCTTCAAGTAAGTTATGAGTCTCACTCTCACACTAAAATTTAGCTGTAAAAGTTGCTGGTTGTTTACATTTTGGGGTCAAAGATTGGTCGTTTCAATGATTAATTAATGAAAGTTTTATTAAAAATATGTCCACTGGTTCAGAAGATATATTGCCAATAATAAAGACAAACGTCACCACATGAGTGAAAACATGGCTTTGTCTCTGCCTAACAGCCGTTCATCCTTGTTAAAATGATGCGTTGTGTTGTTTCCAGGTAAATACAAACACTTTGTTTGTTTTTTGTTTCTTTCGGCTGCTCCCTTCTTCAGGGGCCGCCACAGCAAACTAATCACATGAATTGTTTTTACCAGATAACCTTCCTGACACAACCACAGACCTCCGAGCTACCACAGCCCTCTGTGTGGACCAGAGAGCTGCTACCCAGGGGAGCAGATGCTGGGGGTTAAGGGCCTTGCTCAAGGGTGCAGAGTAGAGCTGTCGTTTCTAACCTGGGCCCGAAGCCTGGCCTGGCCCGGCCCGGCCTGACACGAGTTTGGGGCGGGCCATGATAATGTGCTGGATGAGCGGGCCGGGTCTGTGTCGGGCTTTTGATTGGACCCAATTATATGATAACATGGCTTGCCATACATTCACCAGCTGCACTCGGCCATTTCTCCGCGAGCTGACCGGCCTTGAAAGAGGTAAAAAGTTCAGTTCAGTTCAGTTAAGCTTCAGATGGGACTGTACTGCCAGGAAGTGATCCGTCGCCCAAACGGACGTTCACTCAGCCGCTGCACTCAGTGGGCGCGCGCGGCCGATGACCCAACACGTGAGATCCCAAAGCAGACATGTCAGAGCAGGGTCCGTGTCTGAGAAATGCAGAATGCAGCAGAAACATGGTTTTAATGCTCTTTGACGGCCATGAAAGGACAAACACCCCCTCAGCTCTGCAAGTCCCCGACCGTTAATAACTCATTAAAATGTCAGGGGGGTTTTTTCCGGGTTCGAACCTGTAATTACTGTCAATTCGTCGGGTTGGGTGGGGTTCGGAAATAATGGCTGCGGGCCGGGTCAGATTTTTTGAGCCTGAATGCAACTCTAGCCCAGAGTGGGGCAAATGTGGGTATTTCACCGTTCCCACCCACATTTTGATGTTGTCAGTCTGGGGAGTTGAACCAGTGATCTTCCGATCATAGGCCCACCTTCTCTAACCTCTAAGCCACCGCTCTACGTACAAATCACTTTAAGTAAAAGAAAACATATTAGAACATTTTTACAGCGCTGGTGATTGTCAAAACAAAATGTCAACCTTTGTTTTCTGAATGGTGACATCATGAAGCAAAATAAAAAATCTCACCGGCACGTAAAAATAATCAGATATACACATATTCTGCCCTGTCAGATTATCATCATCTCTCTGAACCGCTGAC